AATGAAATAGGCCCAGCGCCTGTACAGCCGATTGATATACCGAATCAAACGAGTTTCCCGATGGCCTGATGAGGAAGAAGCAGATGATGCCGAATCCATCGGTTTTGATTTCATCAGCTGTGAAGCAACAACTGTCTTCGCCTTCGTTGAAAAGGCCATATCAAATGGCCTAGACAATTTATCGCTATTTTGAGCCAAATTTTCGTTCATCCAACTTTTTTTACCTTTTAATCTGCGAGAAAAAGGATTTTTATTAATAACCGATACTGGAAGAAAATAAATCACTGTCACTCGCGTATATGATGTGTATGAATGTATTTCTCATCATCAGTCAAAAGTCGATGTTTTTAGGCGAAAACGAGGTGATACCATGATTCTTTTGAAAATATAACCAACAGTAAAAGTGGCGCAGTTGGTGAAGTGACCTGAGTCGATATCAAATAATTTCATTCGATTTTCTTGCCTCTGAAGACAAGTGCTAAGTTCTTCTCCCGCTTGTTTCCTTAAGACGAAAAAAGATCCGGAATTGCTCTGAGAGATGATATTTTGTCATTACCACCCGTCCGCTGACAAAATTATCGGTGCGCCACTTCTTCAAATGGGTTGCTCGGGAAACAAGCTGAAAACGGTTTAGATTCCAGGAATATGGTAATATGCTTCCACGTAGTGGGCACAGTCCTCAATCCTGAGCTGCAAACCTTCAGTTAGTATCCACTGTCTACTCAAATTATTTGCCCCTTTTCTGAAGCTGTGCTGAGCTGGGGAAGGGATGAGACATTGGAAATGTCAAAACCATTCATAAGGGAAGAAAAACGACAGAAATCTTTCCTATCCGACATTTCACTTCCTCCACTGCCTGATCTCGCCACGATTATCCGCCTCCTTCCCTATTCTTAATCATACAAATAAAATCAAACGAGGTGCAAAGCCGAGATGAAACGGTAGAAAAATTGTAACAGTTGAAACGGAATCCGAAACTTCGAGAATGCCAATAATTATGTGAAACGGAAGAAATAATTTCAAAAAGTCTCCGAATATCCTTGAAAAAATTTGCAGACAAAGCGTAACTGGCCATCGCTCTTTCACTGCCAGTGCGGCGGTGCCTCTTTTAGGAGTAATATCGGAACGGCGCCTTCCTACGAAAAGACCAAAGGTAGGAAAAAAAA